GACGGCGCAGCAACCGAACATTCCCATTCTTTCTCCTTTGCCGACTCTTAATGTACTAATATGTACATCCGTAGTACGTGCATATATGCGTTACTATTGTAATGTACTTGCACATGTGCTGCACACGTAATTGTTGCTAATGTAAATGCATATGACTTATATGCGTTGGAAATGGAGCTGCGCAGTTTAAACTTCAGGCAATTGCGGGGCTTTTGGCCTCCTTTAATAGACACATCATTCACCGTCAGTTCCTTTCAGTGCTTCAGTACTGGAGTGACGCAAGCAACGGCCTATATGCCCAATAACATTCTGCAGTACTTTAAAGCAAATGCACTGGTGAATTTAACGTATTAATGTAATGCACTGAGCTGATTGTTCTTGCCGAAAAGCTGATGGTGATGTCCGTGGCCGTCTGACTCCACACGTATCCCGGACCGATGCCGCCGCCACAGCTGGGCTCCATTTTCGTCCGAGCCACGACACATTCGCTCCAGCTGCGAAAAACGTCATCAAGCACCAAAAATATTGCCAAATTAGCAGGCAACGATTGCCAGCAGTTGCAGCTAGTCACTTCAGTTGCCCGTTACGTAAGTTGCTGCTCACTGCAGAAGTACTAAAAGCGCCCCCATAGCCAAAAGTGCTCTAATATTCAGGATCGTGACCAATCATCGCGGAGCGAACATCAGGAATGCACCGCCTGCTGAAGCGAAAAGGAGCGGTGGCATAGAAGATGGCCCAGGTTTGTTGCTAAGTCCATTCAGTAGCAGCAGGCCGGGCGTGGCAGGTGAGGAATGGGCGGCAGGCTCCAGAAGTTAGGCAGAAGAAATCAGCGCTTTCTTGATGATGCACAGCGCCAGTATACAGAGTAAACATACAGGAAATACAATAAATATACATATTGATACAAAAAAATACAGTGAAAATACAGCAAATACAATAAATATAGAGAGTATATACAGAAAACATAGTAAACATACAGCAAATACAATAAATACACAGAGTGATACACAGAAGATACGGTAGACGTACAGAGTGATGTGCGTATTTTGAAAACGACGCCCGATGGGCGCAAGAGTTGAGTTGAGGGTGGAGGGTCGTCGATTCCAGTCACCTGCTGGATCCGCGCAAGTTGTGCGATCTGATCCTGAACTTGTATGTCTTGTCGGCTTTCAACCTGGACACCGTCCTCTGGGTCATGTCATTCTTCCTGCGGCCAACGGCAGGAGGTAAATCTCCGCGAACATTTAAAAATGCAAACATTGAAAAATGTTTCAAAATATTTAGATTTATAAATTCAAAACGCGAGCGCCTGAAAATCATGAACAAGTGCGAAATGGACACGCGAGCGCCCTTTCAATCCAATGTCCTAAACGCCCCCATGTTCTCAAAAGCGAAGAGCTGGGAAAATGTGGCATGAGCTGCATCTGCACAACTGTTAGAGCATTTGCTACAGGCACTAGCATCTTTTTGTGGTGAGCTTTGTTCCAAAATGCTTCATCGGAAATGATGGATCAATTTGCACGCATTACATGACAAGCTTCAACCGCCATTCGAAAGATCTTTCGATATCGAATATCTAGATATTCGAGAAGATTTCCACCCTTCGAAGAGTGAGAGGCCAAAGCAACGGAGACTGCCGGCCACTGGCTGTTTTTAAAAGGAAGCGGGCAAGAGCCAGACATCAAACTTAAATGCTTAGAATTTTCACTGTGGTTAACAGGGCAGGTACTGTCAGCTCTAGCGTCTTGTGTCACTAAGTGCACTGATCGGACCTTCTTCCACGAATTGCCGCATTTGCATATACTGCATCTTCAATGCACAATCTACATCACCATTTCCCTCAAGGTCTTTACTTCCTTTGCTGCGTGACAATGCTTTCAAGCGCATAAAGCAAATTCTAATACACATTTTGCATTACACTTTTTGGCCAATTAATGACTTACTACTGTGCTCGTTGGTACTCTATTGATTTACAGGTGATGCTCAGTCCACACATCTTTTGAGGAAAACCTTGCAGAGGCAAGTGCTGAAAAGCACTAAGCTTTATACCGCTTTTACCAAAGAGGGATTAGATATAGCGTGGCTGCATTTGCAACTGCGGGCGCCGGGCGTGTGGCTACCCCACTATGTTCCAGTTCCGCTCATCGTCGTCCTCTTCATCGGTGCATAGATAAGCTGTTTCGTATTCCTCGACATTGAATGGCGATGAGAGCCGGGGGTCGATTCCAAGCTTGACCTGCACCGCAAAGACGCGACACTCGATAAGGGAAATCTCTGGCAACGTTTTATACTTTACCGCCACTTCAGGAAAAGCGGTACAAGCATCCACTGTGTTACTTGAAGAGTATCGAGCCTTGTACCGTTGTCTACCAAGAGAAGGTGCTTGCAAGCAACCCACCAATCGGTTTTATATTATGTTATATAATACTATATTACATTGTAATATATATTATTAGTACTGTTATTACTGTTATTACTGATATATATCATATATATATAAATATAAATATATATATATACATATATATCATATATTTACCAACGTAGCATCCAAATGTTCATCCAAACAAAGTACAGGGGCCGTCCAAGCACGCGCCCACACGCTCGCTTGCAGAATGCAAATGTCCTTTGTCACACGCGCTGGCATTGTGCATTACAGTGGTTTCGTGTGTGGCTTAAAATATGTTGGACGCATTCCTACAACGCAGGTTTTTTGTTTGCGCTTACGCTTACGTTTTTGCTTTTAATTTTTCTCGAGCAAAAACATAAATTTGCAAAAGGGGCTATTTTTGCAGCTGTATTTACGTTTTTGCAGCTCGTTCTGACACCGAGGTAACGCGATAAAAATCACGCTCAATAATTAGTCATCCACCTCCTCGAGCACCAGCAACACAGCGTCATATCGCACTCGGTAAGGGCCACGAACACTCCCCGGGCACCCGAAGGCTGTATATACTGTCCTTGTGTACAAGGAGCTGTATTTACGTTGTATTTACGTATTTTAACGCTTTTTTACACGTACAAACGTAAAAACTATTTTTGCACGTAAAAACGTAAATACGATCGGTGTTTGCAGCGTAAATAACAGGCATCTCCTGGGGAGATGGGAGAGTGTTCGATGTCGATTGCGCCCCTGTCGGAGGTGTCTCGGTATGCCTGCAGTGGATTGATTGGATGGCTGCTGTGGGGGGAAAGGGGACGGGGAGGCGCAGGTGGGACCTCTACCACTGGTAGAAAACGGCATGTTTGCGATGCCAGGTGCGATGCCATTTTGACACAAAATGATGCCATCACAGTGAGTGCGATGGCATAAAAGGGGCTGTGATGGCATCAGATTGTGTCAAAATGGCATCGCAAGCATGCTGCTTTCTACTGGTGTACCGGCGGTCCCTTGCGACGGGGAGATGGGGCCGCAAGATGGAGGCAATCTTAGGCCAAGTCCCTCCCCTACCCGTCGCGCCCGCACGTCTTTCACGGACACCTTGGGCGAGAACGGCTTCCTGGATCCACACACGCGCCCCGGTCAGGCTCCCCCATCCGAAAGTTGAAGTGAGGGAACATCCTTACAGGCAACGTGACACACGAGACTTGAAAGCGGAAATCTGAAGGTGGGAAGCAGATGCCAAAAGTGGCAAACGGAGAGGAGAGAGCCAGAAGGAAAGCCGAAAGCAGAGGCAGGAAACAGGAAGTTACAAGCCTAATGAGGAACGCCCAAAGTACAAGTCTAAAGCCTGGATCCCAAAGTACTGAACCACGAGCAGCAAGCACAACGCAGGAAAAGGAAGGCTAAATGCCGAAAGCCGAAAGCCAAAAGTTGAGAGCCGAAAGCCAAGAGTTGAGAGCAGAAAGCCGAAAGTTGAAAGCGGAATGTTGAAGCCCAGAGCCGCCGCTGCCTCCTGGGACAGTCTCATGCCGATCAACTCCAACCTAGGATGGAGGAAGGCCTCCCTCTCCGCTGGGATCGGCGGACGCGCCGCTTGGCCATGTCGCCACCCCGATTCGCCGGCGGGCGCTGGAACAAGGGGATTGGGGGCCGCGGGAAGCTTGCCTGCTGAAGACGCGGCTGGTTAAGGGCAGGGTGCTCGTGAAGAGGAAGGTCCACAGGGCGTCGAGCAGGTACCACACGAAGTCGGTGACGTAGTTCTCGTCGAGGTACTTGGAGAGGCGGGCCTGCAGGCGCGAGAGCAAGCCGGGGCTGGACTTCTTGCCCATGGGTCGGTTAGGGGCGCTGGGCGGAGGCCTAAGGGGATGGGAACGCCGGTGGCCGTGGGGGCGGACATTTCATTGGCCAGCGATCGTCATGATTTTTTTTTGCACAACAAGGCAGTGAGGTAGCCGCCGGCTTTCTATTTTGCCCGAGCAAAGCAGTGTCTATGACTAGTTCATTAAAATCTAATGCACAACGCAAACAAAATCTGGGAATCTATGAAATTCTTATGCCAAGAAGCGCTTGTCGATGGTAATACATATATGTATTTTGTATTTATATATATTTATATGTAATTTGCGGTTGTTATGCATATATTCCCGTGCAGCATATTTTTTCATATCGTAAAAGCGCCCGCTTCGCTATGAGTTGAAAATGAAGCAAAAATGGCTTTGGCATTGCAATGTCCGTCACGTTGCTGAAGATCCCAGTATTTGCGGTGATGTTGTAAACACAATTTACTATATAACTTACTTTAATCTTTATTTAGTATTGCTAATAACTGGAGCCTTTAAGAGGTGGTGAGACAATGGGAACTGAATTAAGGATACTGATGAATGGGCAGGCTGTAAAGGACAGAATCCCTGTTGTCCCTTTGCTCAGCTGCAAATTTATAGCGGTTCGCAACGGTTTATAAACCGTTGCCGTGTACTCGAGCCTACAGTCCCCGGTCAGGGGTCGCCCATCCTCGACCCTGCCTGCCTTCGCCAGTGGCTGGCGTGCCCTACCTACCCCACCTAACCCAAACCCCAAAAGGAGAGAACTTTGGCAACAAGTGTGTTCCTTGTGTCATTCTACTTTTGGAAAAGTGGTAGAACACTCCCACGTCTCCCCGACCAGAAGCTCATTAACTAAACACTACTGTACATAACTAGAGCATTGGCCAGAACAGATGTCACCCCAGCGCCTTATGTGTGACACCGCATCAAATTGGCCCCGCCACTCTCACTCGCTGAGCCTTTATGCTTATACAATAGTTATATAAATATACATATTTAGGCTTTATTGGGCAGCGCAAGTTCATTGGCCGAAAATGACATTCTCCGCGCCCTTATGCGTGGACACTGCAATCCCATTGGCCAAGACTGATACATTCGCCCAGGGCGCCGCAGCCAGGTTGGCGGCAACTCACATTCACTGACCCCTTACGCAAATCCAGCGATTGCATTGTCATACAATGACGAAGCACAGCCCGCGCACCTGACAGGGGAAGACGGGCGTGAAAACCAAGCAGGTTGTTTGTTTGGAAAGCAAGGCGTTAGGCACGGGCGCTGCCATCAACTTGGCCGACACTGAAGTTCACCGACCCATTACGTGTGGAACCTGCAGGCCCGCGGGCCCAGACCCAACATTCGCCCGCCCCTTGTGTGAAGTTCGGCTGCCAGCAGCCCCGATGAGGTGATGGGGGCGCCAGGGGTGGTCCTGCGTCGACGCAGCCGCGCTTCCGCCAGTGAAGGGCCAGTCTACTCTAGATCGAGAGGGAATCGACGAGCGCCAAATTGGCCACATGCTCGCCTGATATGTCGCGTGTGGCAATGTGTCTCGGTAACGTGAGGGGGGGGGGGTCATGTGTGACTTTCTTGACCACCGTCGGGCCACTCCGTGGGTGGTTTTCCGCCCCCCGAAGCGTCCTCTCCCCGTATGTGACCCCACAAGCACCCCGCCCAGCAGCGCAAAGAGCCGTCCCCTTAGTGCCAGGGGCAGCCGAGGCGCTGGCCGTCCTCCGGCCTCCCGTTGTTGGTTTTTGGGCCCATTCGATAGTCCAGCAGGGGGCGCGGCGGGTTGGGAGGGATTGACAGCCAGCGGAGTCATCAGCGCTCCACTGGCTCTTCTCTTAGGTAACGGCAGCCAAGGCGCTGGCTGCTGTCCGACCGTTTGTCTTTCTTTCGGTGCATCTGATTGTCCAGCAGTGAGGGCGGCGGGCTGGGAGGGATTGATAGCCCGCAGCATCTTCAGCGCTCAATTGGCTCCTCCCTTTTGGCCAACGGCCGCCGAGGCGCTGGCTGCTCTCCGGCCGTTGGCCTTCTTTCGGTCCATTTGATTGTCCGGCACGGGGCGTGGCGGGCCGGAAGGGATTGGCGGACTCTGTCTGCATCAGCGCTGCATTGGCTCTTCAAAGGCAGGCGAGCGGATTCCGGAAGGCGCTGGCCTTCTGTCTTTCTTTGGGTCCATTTGATTGTCCACCACAGCGCCTGGGGGGCTGGAAGGGATTGATAGCCCCTGTCCGCATCAGCGCTCCATTGGCTCTTCGGCGCTCCAGTCCGTACCTTCGGCTCTTCAGTTCGAGCAGATTCTGAAGGGCGTGAGTGGCGAGGAGGGACTGACGGACAGTCCCGGCGACTGTTTAGATAGGAGCCTGGCGAGGGCGGAGGCCGTCTGAGGAGATTTTTGGGCGATGAGGCGCGGGGCGGGGGCGCTGGGCGGCAGGGCCGGCGTCCAGTGCGCCCTGGCGGTCGTGGCTTGTTTCTTTTTCGCCGCGGTGTTGGTGCAGATGGCGCAGCCGTCGGCGCAGTGGGGGATGGCCAGGGCGCGCGATGTAGCAGGTGGGTGGGGAGGGCAGGGGGGGAAATGCATGGATTGCGTGTCGGCCACCGAGGGCTATGTCGCCAACGGACCGCACAGGAACAGTGTGCCTCTCACGGCGCACGCGGCCGTGCCTGAGCAATGCTGTGGATGCCCCATCTTTCGTGCTGAGCATTGGGGTCGTGGTGTGGAATGGTTTCGGTCGTGTTTGTCGACTTAACATACAATAAAATATAAAGTAAAGTATAATGTAATATAATTTGCGGCAAAATGTTATGTTTGCGCGGCTGTTTAAGCACGTTGGGGATGCCGGATTCAGCCCGCATAGTGTGCTTGCGTGATGTTTGCCTCTCATGGGGGATGAGTGAATCCAGAGAGAGTGGGACTCACATACCACCAAGTGAGCGAGGGAGCCTCCCCATGGATGAGAAACTAGTTGACATAGTGTTGTCCTGCGATGTACATGAAAATTCCACCCACAAGAAACCCACTTTCTTCCATGACATCCTCCCTCCCCACAACTAACCAAGTGTACAATGGCCACCACCGGTGTGAAGTGGCAGCAGGTCCTGGAATGGCATCCTTTGGGCCTCAGCTACCCAACATAATCATGCGCAAAGAGGACCCTTTGTCAGGGCTGCTTTTGTTTTGACTGAAAAGCATGGAACAAGGCCCTTGTATGTTGTAGGCTGTGGCAAGCACAATTCTGTGTTATGTGTTGCCTGGCACGGTCACTATCTGATGTACACATGGTACCCATAGTCGTGTGCTGTGCTGCTATCATGGTACCTGTGTGTGCATTATATCGTGTAAGGCGATGGATTGCTATGGTGATTATGTACCATGATGTCTTTGTGCGGTGCATGTGGCAGGTCGGCAACTCATATCGAGGACAGCGAATGCGGGTGGAGTGCCTGTGCCTATGGCACACGAATCACCACCTGAACATGAAGTTTCACTTCCTGGTCTTAATGGGGGCTCACCCCAGTATGGCAACAAAGAATCCCTGGCAGCTGAAGCTCCACATGAAGCGCCCAGATTCTACATTTACCCTGACAGCATATTTGGTCCCGACGTTCAGCCCACGTGGAGTCCATTCCCCGAAGTGGATCAAGAGCTGTCGTGTTTTGTGGACATGCTTGAGGGCCATCACAGTCGAACCCAGAAGCCAGAGGAGGCATCCACATTCATAGTCCCCCTGTATCGACTGTCACATGTTGTGTACCCAAGGAACAAGGAAACGTCAGCAATTGAGGTGGCCTTGAGGGAGCTGCGGCGCCGTTTGAATGGTACAACGTGGTACATCAAGTACGGGGGTGCCAATCATGTTTTTGTGTTTCCCCATTCCCTCCCTGAGCGCATCATGAGAGTTGTCATCGACGTGCTGGATGTGGATTTGTATTCCTTTTGGGTGGGGACCGGACCTCTGCAAACCGGCCTAAACTGGAGGTGCACCCACAAGTGAGTTGCAGAGTGATGGATGAAAATTGAATGCAAGATGCAGTTTTGAGTTTTGCACTGTCGAATTGTTGAAGCGTGCATCGATTGTATGTCCATGGCTGCAGCTTGAAGTACAGCGACACTGCATATGTGGGAATTTTTGCCACTTGGGTGTGCGTTGACCCCCATTTCCACACAAGGAGCCTTGCCATGTGAATTGCAAAGGTTTGAAAGGCAAGGCCTTTTGGGCCCTAAAATGTGCTACCAAGAAGATAGCAAGCATAGCAGTGAAAAAGCAATGTTGAGAATAGAAAAATTAGACCAGTAAAAGTAGCAGATTGATAGTTGAAAGCGTTGGGTAGCTTATGGCAGGTGTTGAATCCCAGAAATTTCCACACACAAGTCGAGGAGTTTGAGTGAAGGTCACCATGGGAAACAGCTGTCGGTGGAAAGACGAGTATCCTTGCCTTGGAATGTATTGAATTGGTCTGCTGGTCTGGCATCAATTCATGAGAGTGGTTGAGAGCATCAGCAATGCGATGACCAATGGGGTGATGTGCTGTTATGCTGTCGGTTGTTGAAGCAATGAGGCAATTTCAAGGGGGCAAAATCAAGGGGTCTCAGGATACCACAAAGACGAGTTTAACTCGCGCAAAATGGACATAACCAATGCCAATTCGCCTGCTGCACTAAGAAGCACAAATGAAGCACGGCTTCGATTCACCCATTCTTCTTCTTGCCATAATTGGATGTATGCGCTGCTTTCTCAGACGCCATCCCCGTCCCAACGGTTCCCCACTTGGCTCTTGGCCTGCCTTTGCCACTTGCTGAACAACACG